ACAGCAATGATGATTGTGAAGCTTGGTTGAGGTGGTGGAGTCAGGCCTGGTCTACACTGGCGGGGGGGGGGGGCGGGGGGGCGCGGAATCGATCTAAGTTACACAACTTCAGCAACGTGAATAAGTCGACGTACTTAGATCTACTTACCGCGGTGTCTTCACCATTGATCCAGTGGGTAATGTAGACAAGCCCTCAGAGGGTTGGATATTTCCCAGGGAATGCTTTGCTGCTAAATGATGAACTAGCACTCAGCTGAAACCTCAAGGGTTAATACATCGTTGTTAATGTAGCCTCACACTCTACAAGGCAGCACGAATGGAGGGAGGAGACACAATAGACACATGGCAGTGGCGGCAAACATTCCCTGCGGAAACTGAACGTGATGATGAACCCACGCTACCCCATTCAAGTGCACCACTCCGCCACTTTTCAAAGTGCGGAGGGATGCATGCGTGTGTGTGTGTGCGCGCGTGTGTGTGTGTGAGAGAGAGAGAGAGAGAGAGACGGAGACACAAACCTCGTGTGTGTGAGCAAGAGAGAGAGAGAGAGACGTATTGCTCCTTTAAGTACGCTGACCCAACTGTAAGTACCTTGCCTTTTTAAATAGATCAGCAAGTTGAGACAGCAGCTGCTGCCAGCAAGTTCCCGTCATCCTGAGCCTTGTCATGTCCCCCCTCCCCCCACTCTGTGGAGATGGGGTACAGGAGTGTGGGTAGAGGGACACCCTGACATTAGCACCCCTCTTCCCCCACCCTCGGCACAGCAAGTAAGTGCTCCCAGGAGGAGCACAGGGCAGTGTGGGGAGGGACAGCTGAACTGCCCGGCAATCGATAGCCTGCTGGGTGGCTGCTACACAGGGAACTTAGGGGAGCTGATGGGGGGGACTGCTGGTCCACCCTGGTTCCAAGACCCCACCAGCTAGCTCCAACCGGCTGCCCTTCCTGCAAGCAGTGGACAAAGCAGGCGACTGCCAAATGACGTTATAAGGGAGCCAGGGCCGGCTCTACTGTTTTTGCCGCCCCAAGCAGCGCGCCGAATTGCCACCGCGGACGGCAGGGTCAGTCCATGTGCTGTTAGGGCGGCACGTGCATTTCCACGGCGGTGGCAATTCGGCGGCAGCTTCTGTCTTCAGCCAGAAGACAGAAGCCGCCGAATTGCCCCCAGGGGCAACTGAACATAGAAGCTGGAAGGCTTCCTGCTTGGAAGGCTGGTGCCTGGAGCCGGCTCTGAAGGGAGCATTGCACAACTTTAAACAAGCATGTTCCCTAATTGATCAGTGACGTAACAACGAAACAACGTTAACTGGGATGACGTTAAGAGAGGAGTTACTGTATATAAATCCCAATTATTAGTTTGGGCACTGGAAGGCTGCAGTCTAGAATGTCAGTGATGCAGAGTTGAGTATGTCTGAATGTGAGTGTCACACATTAGAATACTGGTGTACTGGAGTAAGGATTATGTGACTGTCATCCCAACCTCTCTGCTTCAGGGAGGTCTGAGGGTGACATGAAATTATAACAATGGGCATACGTTTAAACAAACAAACAAATGGTGGGAGATGTGCACCTGTTAGGGCCTGAAGATCAATTCAGCTGGACTGCAGTTGTAATTTTATTTGAGGGTGGAGGTGGGGGGAGGAAGTACATGGACTTACCTAATTTATTTTCGGTAACCCATTCAGAAATGTTCATACACTTATAGTATGTGCACTGTGTTTTCAAGGTCCTGAAACTGGGCGATTTTCCAAAGATGTTATCCTTCCTTGCTTTTTTGAACCTGCGAAAGATGAAGTAATTTACTGGAAGAAAGGGAACAAAAATGTGCACAGCTACTACTATGAGAAGGATCAGCTAGAACATCAAGACTCTGAGTACAAGGGGAGAACATCCCTTTTTCATGAACAAATTCCCAATGGAAATGCCTCTTTGAAACTGAGTAACCTGAGCCTGAGTGATGAGGGCTCCTACAGCTGCTATGTGGGGACATATCACGGTAAAACAGATGTGGAAGTCAGTCTGCATGTAACAGGTCAGGAGGATATTTAACATACTTGAACTGCACAGGTAGCAGATCTTATTCTCTTCTCTCTCACCTGAAATTGAAATACCTCACACCGGGTAGTAGCACCAATATCTTTCCAGTCTATCAGCACTAAAAGGCAGCTCTATACTTCACTGTTGCATTTCAGCAGTAAATAGGGTGACCAGACAGCAAGTGTGAAAAATCGGGATGGGGGTGAGAGGTAATAGAAGCCTATATAAGAAAAAGACCCAAAAATCGGGACTGTCCTTATGAAAATCGGGACATCTGGTCACCCTAGCTGTAAAAGAAATAACCTAGTTCTAGCAGAGGATGAAAAGCTACAGTGCAGTCATTTGAGGTTAAAATCACTGCAGGTCTGCGGGATGCAATTGAGTAGTGGGTGAACTTAAATAGTAAGTGTGGAGGGTAGATTCTCACTGAAGTTTGGAAACTGATGATTGATAATGGGGCAAATGCAACACTGTAGTCTGAACTAAACACAAATAATTGGATTTGGCTTCTGTGTTCTGCAGATTCTCTCCTATATTATTCCAGAAAACCAATCGCACCAAGTTAAGCCGAATGTTGAAAGTATCAGACTTTTTTTTTTGTCTTTACAGTTTCCCCCTCTTATGCAATGGAATATGAAAAACGAGACACAGAGAGACTGTTGAAATGTCTTGCCTTTCGTATTTATCCTGAGCCAAACATAACGTGGGCATATAACAGTACATCTATGCAAAACACAAAAATGGAAGTAACCCAGGATGGCCCTCTCTATTTAGTTAGAAGTGAGCAGATCATTACAAACAAAGTTTCTTCTTACCAGTGTCACGTTCAATTTCACAACCAAAATTGGACTGCTGAATGGAAAATGGAAGGTAGGATTGAACTATTCTCCATCCCTTAAACATATATAGCCCATAACAGTTGAGCCATAATGAGTGCATGCATTTACATTGTGCTGGATTGGTAGAGAGACAATAGTTAAGGTTACATAACCTTCCATAGAACTGCTGATTATAAAACCAGCTAGGCTGAGATGAGTGAAAACCCCTCAACATTCACCCCCAAATTTCAGAACTGTGAAATGCATTTATTTCGAGTGTGGCAGCTTCATGCTTAGGTTTTGACCATGTGGGTTTTCCACCTCCCAAGTTGCACAACAATGAATTTCGAACTTCGAATTTCGAACTATTTCAAACTCACAAAGGTTTCCTCCATAGGTTTGTGAACCTTATGACCCTGGCTGGAGTTTTTAAACACAACCATAATGTGGTTTGGAGTGTCATTGCAAACCTATCACACAGCATCACCCAAGAGTTAGACTTGCCTATAGCCAACTCTAAATGGCTGTAGCTCGGCTTGTGTCCATTTAATACACTGGGGCAGCTAGCTTTGTTTAGTGCCCATATTAATTTTATATTACAGTAGCACTCAATAGCCTCAATCTGGATTTGGGATCCATTGTACTTATTACCGTAAAGATCACTTGTAAGAGATGCTCCCTTTTTTTTTTAATTGTCCCAATCCATCCCTGACCTCTTTCTCTCCCATTGTCCAGGTGACCCAGCCAGACATTACCTGTGGCTGACCTAAAGCATTCTCCTTTCACCCTGCCTGCTCTGCACAGTAGCAGCGGGGGGGAGAACTGTTCCTCATCTATTGTTCTAGTTACCAATCTGTCCATCCCCTATTGCTTATTTGAGTCTATTCACTACCATTTGTCTTCCCTGTCTTCTTTCTGCCCCCTGCCCTTTCCCCAGATCACATCTTCTCACCTCTATCCAAACCCAAAGGGCCTGAGGGGGAGGGGAGTGGAGCAGCAGCCAAACAGATTGTCCAGATTCAAATAACAAAATACACTTGGGCAGAAAATAGATGGTGTCACTCCATAAGGAAAAACAGAGCCACTGAAATTTAGCTCTCCCCTATGGTCCACTTACTCCTGCTGCATCGGGCTTTTTTTGCATTCCCTAGAAATCCATTTCAGCAAATAACCATTGCTTTCCTGAGGCTCTTATCTCTTAAGAAATATTTCTTAATTGAGGCAACAGCAATGAAAGAGCAAAGTTTCCTGTCAGATCTGCAAGATTGACCTTGACTCCACTACTCTGCGCTCCCTACAGCCCATGCACAGAACTCATAGTTCTCAATCCACTATGCACTCCGCAGAGCAGAATTTTGTTCTGAATGTGTGTACTGTAGCATATTAACGTAGCTCATTAATGGAATCCCACATCTTAAAGGTCACATGGTGCTGAGTGTTATAAATGCCTCACATTGGCTAGAATATGTCCTTACTAACAGCAAGTGAAATTCAAAAGGGTTAGGGGATTGGTCTGGATAAGCATCCAGATTTCTGGCTGCTTACCTGAACCTTTTGAGATCATGTAGCCTTCTGCTAGCCAGGCAAGAGGCAATGTGGAGTGCAGTTTTTTCCCCCCTGTTGGCCCTCAGAGTCACTCTCCATATCCCCTCATGTCAGCTACATCTACACTATGAGCTGGAGGTGCGAGTCCCAACTTGTGAAGACATACTTGTACTAGCTCTCATCGGAGCTAGCGAACTAAAAATAGTAGTGTAGCTGCAGTAGCACAGGCAGTGATGACATGGGCTAGCTGCCCCAAGTACGTACTCAGGGATCAGGTGGGTTTGTAGCCTGTGTCGCTGTAGCCCATGCTATCATGGTTACGCTACTATTTTTAGCATGCTAATGTAAATGTGTGTACACAAGCTGGGAATCGTGCCCCTTGCTCATCATGTAGACCTTGTCCCACACACCAAGCATGCTAATGTAGTGTAGAAATGTTATGGCTCCCTGCCCCAATACAAGTTGCCAACCATCCCTCTTCATTCGTTTGTGCCTATTGAAGTGAGTCACTATTCTCAGTCATAAACTCTACACCTAGCACTTGCAATATTTCATCCCAAGGCACTGTGAATTTGTGTGAGTATATGAGAATTTCTGTCCTACTTAATATCTTCCTTTGATCACTACTAATCTGTAAGTATCCTTTAGGAAGCCTTTCCCCCGCCCTTAAATAAAAGAAAAAAACCAGTAACACTCTCTGAATGTTAATATTTTTTTCCTCTCCTAATCTTTATAGTTGAGGACTCTGTTCCACCACTGTTGTTTACTTTAGGAGCTGTACTAGATTTTATTTTAGGCAATTAACTAAGATGAAATGTTAGGCACCAAACAATTGTGGTGTCCAGATATTTTTCTCCCTTAAAGGTAAAAAAAAAGAAAAGAAAAGAAAATGATATCTAAATTTAATTTCATATTTTAAACTAGTACATTAATAATGAACTTTATTTAGAACCTGTGTTCTAAAAACCTTAGAGCTTTAACCAAAAATAAATGGAGTCTAATTTTGCACCTTTTATGCTCTTTACTTTTTGGACTTCATGCAGCTTAGAGAGTAAAAATAAACTAGGTGGTGCCTTTTGTTTGCATAAGAGTCAGAAAGCAAAGCTAACACAAGATTACAGAGTTAGTAGGAGTGACTCAATAGGGAAATGTTCACATCTAAGAAAAAACCCTCTTTGCATTGGCAAAAACAAAAACTCATTTAATATAAAGCAGTTGCCACCTCTCCACCGTCACCCCTTTTTGTTTGTTTGCTTAAACCAACTACTAAGGGTATGTCTACACTACGGGATTAATCCAAATTTATATAATTCGAATTTTGGAAACAGATTGTATAAAGTCTAATGTATGCGGCCACACTAAGCACATTAATTCGGTGGTGTGCGTCCATGTACCGGGGCTAGCGTCGATTTCTGGAGCACTGAACTGTGGGTAGCTATCCCATAGCTATCTCATAGTTCCCGCAGTCTCCTCCACCCATTGGAATTCTGGGTTGAGATCCCAATGCCTGATGGGGCCAAAAACATTGTCGCGGGTGGTTCTGGGTATATCTTCCCCCGTCTCCAGGGAAGCAATGGCAGACAACCATTTCGTGCCTTTTTCCTGGGTGAATAGTGCAGACGCCATACCATGGCAAGCTTGGAGCCTGCTCAGCTCAAGACAGCAGTCATGAACATTGTAAACACCTCGCGCGTTATCATGAAGTTTATGCTGAACCAGAACTTGCAAAAACCAGGCGGCGAGGAGTAGGCTACGGCAGCGAGAGTGATGAGGATATGGACATGGAATTCTTTCAAACCGCGGGACCCGGTGCTTTGGAGATCATGCTGTTAATGGGGCAGGTTATAGCCGTGGAACGCTGTTTCTGGGCCCGGGAAACAAGCACAGACTGGTGGGACCACATTGTGTTGCAGGTGTGGGACGATTCCCAGTGGCTGCGAAACTTTCGGCGTAAGGGCACTTTCATGGAACTTTGTGACTTGCTTTCCCCTGCCCTGAAGCGCCAGAATACCAAGATGAGAGCAGCCCTCACAGTTGAGAAGCGAGTGGCGATAGCCCTGTGGAAGCTTGCAACGCCAGACAGCTACCGGTCACTCGGGAATCAATTTGGAGTGGGCAAATCTACTGTGGGGGCTGCTGTGATGCAAGTAGCCAAAGCAATCACTGAGGTGCTGCTACAAAAGGTAGTGACTCTGGGAAATGTGCAGGTCATACTGGATGGCTTTGCTGCAATGGGATTCCCTAACTGTGGTGGGAACTCATATCCCTATCTTGGCACTGGAGCTCCAGGGTACCCAGTACATAAACCGCAAGGGGTACTTTTCAATGGTGCTGCAAGCACTTGTGGATCACAAGGGACGTTTCACCAACATCAACGTGGGCTGGCTGGGAAGAGTTCATGACGCTCGCGTCTTCAGGAACACTAATCTGTTTAAACGGCTGCAGCAAGGGACTTACCTCCCGGACCAGAAAATAACCGTTGGGGATGTTGAAATGCCAATAGTTATTCTTGGGGACCCAGCCTACCCCTTAATGCCATGGCTCATGAAGCC